AGGTTTTGAAGGGCGAAAGCAAAATACTTATTTACCTTAGTAATTAGTAATTCGATTGTACTATGATTTTTTATAGATTGCACTAAAATAAATCAGCACAAAAATACAAAATTCAATAGACGTTAATGTATGTGCCTGGGTTACAATTGTCTAGTATAGTTTGACCGTTAATATTTCGATCATGCCTGCTGTCAGCGCTGATTTTGAACGCTACTGGTCTACATTACAATAGTAAGGCATTTAGTAAATTTACGTTCAGAAATAAATAATAGTTGGTAGTTTTATAAAACGTAACATTTAAAACTAGGCGAGTGCCAGACGGGTTTGTGAGCAATTAACGTTCCGGCCATTTCGTGAGGGCTACAGTACACTCCGGGTCAAAGCTTTGTGGCCGTGTCACAATGTTTCGTTACACTCGCTACAGTAATTACACCGCTGGTTTTTTGCATGTTAAAATTTATACGTTCGCGTAACGTTTTAGTTTTAATTAGTAAAGTTTAGTTTGCTTTATTTAGTCCTTAAATGAATTGTTAAAGTTTAGTTAATTGGTAATTTTGTAAGAAACTGTGAGACAGGATACAGTTAAAATTAGGCAACTACAATAGATAAATTTCATACAAAACCTTATTTTACAAGTCAGTAATAATGAAGCTGTGATCGATTTAACCTTTTTGCATTATTTTGCTTAAACTAATTTATTATTGGCACATAAATCGAAATAGTATGAGATAACTATATTTACAAGCGTATAAATATATTACGGAAGGCATAAAATATTTTTTATATCTTCCGCAATATACAGGAAAATTTTGTTCTTACAAAAACGGCAGTATATCTTGAGGTATCTTATCGATGCTTACATTAGTAAGAAAAATGCTCTACAATTTTATTACTAGCAGTATTTATAATTTAAGATAACAGTAATTTTACACGTTGCTACTTTAACATAGTAAAATTGATGACAGTTATTAGGCAGCAATATTTATTATTTAAGATTTGATTCAGAAATGATGCTGATATGTGCAGGTTTCTTCATTATTAAAAACGTCAAAAGAGATGTAGAGGGCGCATCAGTTACATTATTCCAAGCGGCGTTTACAATGGGATTGCAGTGTCAGAGCTTGTAACGCGAAACTTGTTGAATGTCGAATGGAATAATAATTATTTAAAAAGTGTTGGAAAACTATGGTAACTGTATCCATTGCAGTTACAAAAGGCTGCAAATTCAGAAACGCTGGTTTTAATTGCATTTGTTAGTTAACTATACATGTACGTTTATAATTATAGAGAAATTAAATATAAGGTAAGAATTACATGGTGCATGCATAATGAAATTGGCACTGACAGCTTCTGCAATATTAAAAAAATTACCTATGTTAACACGGACCAGTTTGCAATCGCCGTTCAATTGTTATCATCAATGCAGTCCGTTTATGGCCATAAGTGCATGGTGATTTTCATCTTAGTTTTCCATGTTTGAGGTTCGTATGGTAAGGTATTATTGCCGGGCGGTTGCGTAGCTGTTCGTATGTAAAAGGAATTTCCAATTCAGTACTGTAGCAGTAGTCCTTTGCCTCAAACGTGCTTTGTCTGCGAGTAATGAGAATGCTTTGTTAACAAAACTTTGACGGTGCTTTGAACCCAAACTATATTAAGGAAGTTTGTTGCAATTTGAATCAATTCGTCCTTTCATTAAAATAATAACTATCTGGAATAATATCTTAATAATTGCGAATTGTGTGAAAGGAGATATGCTTAAAAAGGGAATGAATTCAGATATGACGGCTGATAGAAACGTTTGGGAGCGAAGCACATACTGTGCTGACCCTCCGTACGGACAAGGGCAAGTTGATGATGATAATGAATTGTGAAGACCATGATTGAGACATGAATGGCATCAGCAAACTTGGAGGATGAAGGTGTGATCATGTGTCCCTTTCTGTTTGTCTCTAGACGGTAGCCTAACCGCGACCTATCGTAACGCCAGCCCAGAATACACGATTGTTGAAATTCGAACTTACAGCCAAGTGTTCGTAAATCCGTACAAGGTTATTGGCAATTGTGAAAATAATGTATTGCCATTATCATTGGAGAATGAGTTTTTTATACTAATTCAAAATAGTTTTATTACGTATTATGATTATATTGTTAAAGGTATTTAGTACAATGTAATCATGTTATTGATCTCCAGCGACCTGTGAACAGCTTATTGTTTAACGCTACGCATGGATTGATGAACATTGTATGAAACAATTCATGTTACAAACCGCGCTAAGATAAACTAACAACAGACTATTGAGAAACTAAATAACTATTGAAGTGTACAAAAGTTACAATAACTTTAAACAGGAAATGAAAACCTTTAAAGAAAACCTTTTATAAATATTCGATTAAAAAAAGACAAACGATAGTCTGTGATCAAACTTACTGAGAATCCAAGATTCTAAAGTGCTAAAAACTACGATATCACAGTATTTTTTAACCTCGTTGGATCGCTGCAAAATCTGTAGTTTTCAATTACCAAAGCTAAACATGTACATAATCATAGCTTGCCTTGGAAAAGATTATACGATCTAGTATGATAAGGAAGGTATATTAGTAAAGCACAGTGTAGACTTAACCATAGTGCGGGCAGTTCAAATAAGTCCAAATGGCAATATAAAATTTTACACTATCCTATATCCCTTTTAAATTTAAGATGGCCACCGAGAATGCTTTAGTGATTCAAGCCTCATATAAAATTTTCCCATAATTGGGTAGCTTTAAAGATATCAAAAAAGCGTCTTTTTAAAAGGCCCCCCTCTTTAACTTTTTAAATTCCAAGTCTTCTTAATAGCATTCTAAAAGCAGATTCAATTGAAAAGACAAGTGAGTATCGAATGAAAATTTCAACTCGCATGTTCTGAGTAAGACTGAAAGAAATATCAGTACTAAGTGAAACGTATGTGTGGATACAAAGCTTTGATCTGAGCCACCTCTTACAAAGAATACGACCTGAATACCTTTCAAAGTTGTTTAGCTCGGCTACTTTTGAACGTAACATTCCAACTACCTGAAGTAATTTTACTACTCTGTATAACTTCGTATCAATGTTTTATCCGCTATTTGCGTATACTTACTAATATTATAAATGAAAAAGTTTAGATGGATGGATGTGTGTTAGATTTTGTAGCCTAAACTGATGAACGGATCTCGATTAAATTAGGCATACACATAGATGATAGTCTGGAAGAATACATAGGGTACTCAGTTTTGACTTTTTTTAGTCCATGCGGAGTCGAGGGCGAAAGCTAGTAAGGATTATGGATATATACTTTTTTTTTAAATTATAACTGCTCGCTTTATTAAATTCAGTTTGAATATGGATATTGTCATCCTTTGTAAGCCTTTTAGTTAAGTAAAATGAAAGGTAGAGAGAGTGAAAGGATAAAATAATATCTTCTACTGTTCCCAATTATATCGTATTTATTTATATACTAGCTTTCGCCCTCGACTCCGTAAGCGTAGAATTAAAACAATGAAAGTGAGTTCTTCCTATCCTCTAGGTCTATACCAAATTTCATCGAAATCCGTTCAGCCGTTTAGGCTACAAACTCTGACAAACATCCATCCATCCATCTTAACTTTCACATTTATAATATTAGTATGATTTATATTTATTGCACGCTAATATTTTTAAAGTTTCCTTTTTAAATTTCTCTTCTTTCGATTTTTAAAAAAAAATTAAAGTCTGACAAAATACAGCATAAAAAAACTGTTTTCTCAACGTCTACGAAATAAAGTCAAAATATGCACCAAGTTACGGGAACAGTTCGTTAAATATTCATCGTTGGGGATGCTAACTTGATTGTACGCAACCAGAGAAAGCTTCGAGCCAACTTTGTGCTGGATTTTTATACAAATCAAAGTTATTCATACATTGCGTAAGAACACGATAAAATCTAAATAAATTAAGCCTGCATATCTAATGATCTACATTACAAAGAAAATTTAATTTCTTATTCAAAGTACTTAATTATGACTGTCTTAAAGTAAATTTTACACTAAACATCATTTTACGTAACAATTAAACGACTCTGTGTTCAAATCCACAACATTAAATTTTTGTCCACCTAAAATACACGCTGAATTTAGTAACTTGTATGTTTTATTACATTTATTTAACGTAATAGGAATTAATAGCATTGATAAAATTGGATTCTAGTGAGACATATGAAATGTTGTATCTAAAAAAAGATTTTGCGTAATTAGCCATATACAGTATTGGCGTTATTGGAGACAACTTTATGAAATATTTTTCCAATAATAAGGTTTACTAAAACAGGATACGCAAGGACATAAATACAATTATAGGATACAAACCAGAATGGAGACATAAATGTTCATGGGATAAATGTAATAAAAAGGTCATAGGTTTTACCGTTGGTTTCCACTGGCATTTATTTAACTACTTTATCTATGTTTGTCAAAGAACGTAGTATGACAAATATGTTTATGTTTTGTGGTAGCTGTACATTATGGACCAGAGATTTATTTGACTAACAATTTCAAGAATTATCTCAAATTCATGTAAGGATATTTCAAAATGCTTTTTCTGATATTGTTAAAAGTCACTTCCTAACATAAGCCTTGTTTACCTAAAATTTGTTAATAATAATCTAATATATTTACAACTAGCTGTCCCGTGCGACTTCATTCGCATGGAAATTTGAAAATTTTATTTTATTGTTTACATCTGTCAAATTATCAATTACAAACGTCCTTGATGTTGGCAGCAACTTATGGTCTCTTTCCCACATAAGGGTTTTTATCCAAAATATTTACTTTATAACTTAGGGGAAGTTTAATGTCGTGAAAATATATAGCCTAAAGCGTGATGTAAGTGTAGGGCTTTTCATTAAAATAATAGTTATTCAAAAATATGCTCTAATTGCTGACATCTTACGCCACAAAGTATTGTGTGTTTACGCTTTATTATATCAGTATAGATTTACAATAAATATCGCTAGGGATTTAAACAAAAATTGCAGTTTAGCATTTAAAGTGCAGTATATCAATAGTTGCGTGGAACGTTATGGCTGAACTGTAACCGGCCGAGCTTGTGGGCAATTAGCGCTGCAGACTTTGTGACGTCAGACAGCAAAGTTCAAAGCTTTGTGACGTCACAACGTTGGCTCGTCACGTTTGATTGATTAAACTTACCTACATACATCTTTTTCGTATGTTGAATATTTTATTCCTTAGCGATAAAACAGAGTTTTAGTTCACAATTTACTGCAGTTCTGATGGATTTGTCCATCTCATACGAGTGTCGATTACGATACGAATCGATTCGTAACTAATCGTACTAAGCCTACCGATCTCAACATTTAATATCGACGCTGTCAATATACACTTTTTTGTCTACTACAAATGTTTCCTGTAGATATCGATTATTTACTCGATATTAATTCGATTGCGTATTCAACAATAAAAACGATAACCGACGTTAACAGAATTGTTTACTTCCCACACGGGGAAGTGAGGTAATTTTAATTTTAATGATTTTGTTCATAGAAGTGGAAGGAAGCAACTTACCGACAATATTGCGATAATCTATTTTATTCGTTATTCTGGTTTGTATCGTTGAAGAGAGTTGTACAAAATGAATCGTTTAGTGTATACGTTAATACTAATCTCGATTGATTATACAGAGTGTTTACAATACGATAGATTTAGTGGAGAAACGGTCGATGGTGAAAGATTGAAGGAGCTTCGACTATCAAATGCGACATCGTAAGTTTAAAAAATGAATAAAACAATTACGCTTCAGTATATCTCCAACAGCCACTAAGTTATCTAGATTGTGATGGGAATAAGTAAAGGTGGTCAAAATTAGAAGATACGGCTACTACTTCTGGTGATAAATTACTTTGCTTATTGTCCACTACTTTATCACCTTCGACCAATTCTTATTAAATTACAAACTAAAATATTTAATATTAATGAATTCTACGAGACCCGTAACTATTTTCGGGATAAAAAGTAGCCTATGTGTTCTTCCAGAGTATGCTCTACGTCTGCGCCGAATTTCATGGAGATCCTTTCAGCCGTTTAGTCTACAAACTCTAACAAACATCCATCCATCCATCGAAACTTTCGCATTTATAGTGATAGATACCTATTCGTGTATTTTTCATAGATTTGGTTTATTTTTGTTAAATTACTTTGATAAAAAATTCCATTATTTGCAGAATTTGTACGATATACATTAAACCGTGTGTTCCCCACGAAGGCAGTAGAATTGACGGTACTTGTAATAATTATAAATATCCATCATTGGGTGCTGCTAAGGGACCTTACGCAAGACTGTTGAAACCTGACTATGCTGAAAGTGAGTACCAATTTGGTGAAGTCGGCACGTTACATCTAGAATTGTGTTCTACACAGCGATTCGTGTATCCGTTTTTATACTATAAGGTGGCAAACGAGAAAGTGGCCAACTGAATTCGCCGAGAAAAGGAAGCCGATGTACATTCGCAATTTGAGATGCGTTGCCTACCCTTTATCAATGGAGAAGGAGACGCACATAAAGAGGATATTCCCCTTTCCTTTACGTCTCATTCACCGTTAAATCCACTTTTCCTTTCCGTATAAGAATGGTGGGAAAGTAAAGGGGTAAATATTAGGCCGTGCTACTTAAATGTTTGAATAATATGCATTTATATACAGATGGTGATGTAAGACTCAGTAAGAATGGGAAACCGCTACCCTCAGCGAGGCAGGTCCGGACATTCCTGCAGAGTACGGGTCGTGTCACCGACAAGATTACATTCAATGTCGCCGCTGTTCACTATTTAGATTTTATCAACAGAGATGTCAGCGTTTTATTTGAACCAAGTAAGATTGAGGAATGATTTGTTTTACAAAATATTTCAATTTTCAAACCTAATATCATAAGATTGATTAAAAGTTAAATCGATTTAAGAATTTAATATTGTACACTATTTTACATTAGTATAGTCTAAAATTTTTGTTTTTTTTGCGTTTCTTTATGGTCTTTGTAGTAAAAAAATTTTGGAAGAAAGTGAATCATAAACGTTACAGGTCCAACTTTTAAATATCAAATATAGAAACAGTCGTAAAATATTAACAAAGTATACATAAATGCTTTCGCTGCATTATAGATATATCTTTTTATTTTACTTCAGTTGATTATCTCACAAAGGGGAAGGATTGTTGCCATCAAACGGAGGCAAAGGACCCTCGCTGCATGCCGATAGAAGTACCAGACAATGACCCTTACCTTAAAGTTACAGACATACGATGTCTCAATTTTTCTCGTGCGGAAACATTTCAAGACATCGGTTGTCTCTCAGAGACAATGCTACCTGAACATGTTGGTATATTTTGTACTGTGATTGTTATAATATTGTTTTCACCCGCGACTCTGTCCGCGTGGTATTAAAAAATAAAACTAAGTAGCCTATGTGTTCTTCCAGACTATTCTCTGCATCTATGCCAAATTTCGTTAAGATCCGTTCAGCAGTTTAGGGTACAAACTCTACGAAACGTCCATCGATCCATCCATCTATCTAAACTTTCACATTTATAATACTAGTATGAACTAGGAAGTATGATTTAACAGCGCAAAGTGATTCTTATTTTTATTAACGATTAATGTTATTATTAAATAATAATTTTGAATGCTGGCAACATTTAAGTTAAATACCTTTATTTTTATTCTTGATTAGATTAACTTACAAACGCCGCTAATAGATTTATCAACAATCTACGGAGTTGATGAGCGATCAATGAATTTAGTAAGAAAATGGGAAAATGGTCTTTTATTAATGGAAGAAAGAAAAGGACGTAATGTGCCTCTTGTAAACCTAACCAAAAAGTTATGTATTCAGAATGTGGGGAATGAAACCAACTGTTATACCTTTGGTAAGATATTTTCGTAATAAAATAATTCCGTCCGAATAGCATTAGAATAATTTTTTATGATTCTTTTAGACAATTTATTTACTGCATCAACAAAAGATCAAAACACCTAACGATAAATTTATTTAGTTACCTTTTTTTGTTACTCAGTTTCATTGTTTGTGTTCTTATAGGTTTTCCAGAGGTTGGTAATTTCGATTTAAGAACGACCAGTTTTACCATATTTTTCATGAGGGAACATAATCGTATTGCTAAAATTCTACACGAATTAAATCCATGCTGGAAGGACGACCGGCTTTTTAAAGTCGCCCGTCAAATAAATGTGGCGACAGCGACCAATATATTCTTGTACGAGCTTCTACCGCTCTTGTTAGGTAAGATTCTGTTAACATGTAAGTTCTAGTCTGGCTGCAGTCAAGTTTGTTTCTACACAGAACTATGTTGTATTTGTTCTGACACGAACATAGTTTGTACAGCTCTAATGTTAAATGGAAAAGGAACTGCGACGTGCTGAGCTAATTGTTCATAAAAGTACACCCTTAGTGTTGAATTAGTGTAATAAATCTACTTTAGGACCAGCTTTAGTAACCGTTAAACTACTGATTTCGCCAGTTAATTTATTAGATTCTTCTGAGATACTAATTTAATGTCATTTAATGATTTTTAAACTATTACAGATAGAAGAAATATGATTAGTTATGGGTTAATATCTAATCGGAAGTCTCAAGTGAGTGCGTACGATGAAACCGCGATACCTCTGGTCTTCGCGGAGTACGAGATTGCGACAAGATTCTTTCATACATTAATTGATGGAAGAATAAAGTAAGTGTAGCTTATCGTCTTCTGTTCATAAAGAATTCAAAGCGTTGGTCTCGTCTTCGATCTTCCAATAAAAGTGTAATCAATAAAACGAGTGCATTATGTTTATACTATGTATATAAACTACGCACGTCATGGGGCCCGCCATCTACAACCGCCTGCCGGACCACGTCACAGCGGCTACCAGTCTCGTGTCATTTAAAAATAAACTTAAGTCATGGCTAATACAAAAAGCCTTCTATAGTATCGAATAATTTTCCTACCATGGTTGTTTTATGTACACATTTTTTATTCAGAATATCTGTAATTTTTTTTTATCATAATGACTTGTAATTCTCTTACCAATAATCTATTTGTATTTAATGTGCTTGTAGTAATTGTTTTGTTTTTTCTATTATAAGTACAGTTTTGATTTATTGATTTGTTTTAGGAAATACGATAAGAATTACAACTATGTAGATGAATTAACCTACAGTGATAGTCTATTCAGACAAGACCTTTTAGAACAGAATGGAAATTTTGAAGAAATAAATCGCGGTACTTTCTATCAGAATGCTGCTAAAATGGACGATATTCAGGATCCAGAGGTAATAAAATCAACACAAAAATTAACGGCTTCCGAAACAAATGAACATCAAATTGTTTTATAGAAGATGACAAAAGAATAACAATACACCCGATATTATCCAAATAACGAAGTGACTGGTACCAATAAAAACTTTCAAGAACATAAAATTGCAGATGCATAGTATATTTTTACTAGACAGGAGAATATAAACAGAAAAAAGGATAGTTTCCTTTCTCATGTTTTTGTTTGCCGAGACCACCTTTTTATGTTTCTTTTATCAAGAATGGTTGAGAAAGGTCAGTAATTAGGATCGGACGTAATGTTAAAAATAGTGTTTACTTTTAGATTTCTGAACGTTACTTCGGTAATTTACAAAAGGCTTACGACCAAACGGCAAGTGATATACAAAGAAGCAGGGATTTAGGTATGAGAGGGTACAATGAATACAGAAATATATGCGGTTTGAAAACGGCAAAGACTTTTGAAGATTTCGCGGATGTTATCGATATAGAGGTAAGCACTATTGAAAAGTATATGTATATTTAAATGTAATAAATTACATAGAATTAGCTTTCGCTCGTGACTTCGTCCGCGCGGAATTAAAAAAAAACAAATGTAAGTAACCTATGTGTTCTTCCAGACTCCTCTACATCTATGCCAAATTACATCGAAATCCGTTCAGCCGTTTAGGCTACAAACTCTAAAAAAATCCATCCATCTAAACTTTCACATTTGTAATATTAGCTGCATATAAGATAGAACACAGTATTTATTTTCATTTAATATTATGCAATCATCATCTCCAGCTCACTATACGTCCTCACCGAGGGGCTCGGAGCCTACCCTAAAGTTAGGGTGACTAGGACATAGTCAACCACGCTGGCTCAGTGCGGGTTGATTGACTTCACACATATCTTTGAATTTATTTGCTGATATGTGTAGGTTGCATCACGATGTTTTCCTTCACCGTAAGAACGTCGGGTAAATTATGTACATATGAAAATTCGAAAAATCGAATATCACATTGGTACGGCAGGATTCTAAGACCTGTAGATTACAAGTCAAGTGCTTAAACCATTGAGCCACCGACGCTCCTATATTATGCAATTGTTTGTTGCAATTAACCACTCTCGTTATTTTCATTAAAACAATGAATTGCTTTTTAAAATAATTGACCTTTTAAATTACACGCTTCGTTACGCTCATATCAAAAAGTTATTTTAATTAAGCTCATACTTGAAATGTGATCGTTGTTTTACGGTTGAGTTGGGTAAACGAACGAGGGTTCGTTTCTCATATATCCAATGTGTTTAAGCATTAAAAGTATATTATATGAGCTGTTCTAAGCTGGCAAATGGCAAAATAACTGATCATTCTTTACTACCAAACTTTAAGATTCAATGGAATTAGCTTGAATAAGTCTCCTTTCAGAAATGTCGAGTGGAATCTTGTGAAAATGTCCAAGACACTCTTATGAATTAGCTTGTAGTAATAATGATGTTCATAAAACAGTAAAATTGCATTTGTTTTTAGAAAGTGGAACTATTAAAGCATTTATATGAAGACGTAGATGATGTTGACTTGCTGGCTGGTATAATGAGTGAAAATTACATTAAAAATACATTTGTTGGACCGACATTATTTTGTATAATGGCGCGACAAATGAACGTATACAGATTTGGAGATAGATATTGGTTTGAAAGGGGAGATCAATATCATAGTTTTACACCACGTAAGTTTTTTTTATTTGTTTCTTTATTAATCATATGGCAGTAATTTACACCTAGAAAATACTGACATAGAAAAAAAGATTAAAATACCCATATTATAATGTTACAAGGATAATTGTGTTTTATTACTTTTTTTCTACCTCGTAAATGCAATCCTTAAAAGGTTATTTTAAACAATTACAAAAATTACATTTATTTAAATGTAATATTTGTACTTGTAATCCTCGATAAATGTTGTGTACATTCATAAATAAAATGTGTAATCGAAAGTTAAAACCGACAAGCAAAACAATAGGCGTGTTCATATCCGGAACATAATTGTTCTTCCGACTGTACTCGTAATTATTGACTATGATATAAAAAAAGTGTTCATATTTTCAGGCCAATTACAAGAGATCAAGAAAACGAATTTAGCTCGCCTCGCGTGTGATAATGCTGAGGGGATCAAATACATACAACCGCAGGCTTTTCTCAACGTACAGACATAGTAAGTGATATTTTATCATAAATTAATATTTAAGAGTAAAAATAATTGTGTAAATGTCGTTATCAGGATTAATGGTTCAAGAGAAACGTATAACATTGAATTAATTTAAAAAAAGGCCTGAGGGTCTATCACTAATTGTATACATTGCGATAATGTATTCGTAATATCAATAATTGTGTGAGATTTGTCGGTGCATTATAGTACACTTTTGTCGATGTCGTTACGAAAATGTTCTTACAAATATTCGTGATAGTCTCTGCTCTGTTACGAGGATACGAACGAATGTACGTACTTGTGAATGACATGCCCGTTATCATTCAAGCAACGTCACTCAGATCACTATGATTTAACATTCATTTCTTTACTATTCAGCAATGCCCCAGTGTCCTGTTCCCGAATACCGGGCGCGGATCTAACAAGTTGGTACGACAAAAATTGTTACAAGACTGAAGACAAATCTATTGAATTTGGCCGTGAAAAATCTAATGAATTTTACATACATGTCACGTAATATTTGTGTTTTTAATTATGGTGATTGTAAGTGTTGTTATAATAGACATCTGATTTTACAACATACTTATTTTAAAATTTTTAAATAACTAGTTGTTCTTGTATTAGAAGTAAGCGTTATCATATAATTATTTAATAAAGTATAAAATTACAGTTTGATATTTTTTTACAACATGCTTTTTCTGTAATTTTAAGCACATCAGAGTTGAATAAAATTGTCACATCACAATCTTTATACATAATCATATCTTTAATACATAATTTGCATATCAGAAGTCGTTAGTAAACTTAAGCGCAGTTTAAAATCCAGTAACAGTGATCACAGACCACTAGTCCGTGTTATTACGTGCACTAATTACACGACACGAGGCAATCAAGAGATTGAAATCTTACATCCAGTTGTTGGTAACACTGACTACTCAAGTGTTAATTAAGGATTCACATAGAGTTGATACTTTGAACTTTCACGTGTTTATTTACATGTGATGAAAAGAAAATTTCAATAACTAGTTGTACATAAAAGTGGAATTTAAAAAAGTTTCGACATTCTTCCAAGAAGTATTTAACTACCTGTGCGATGTTATTGTTCCTATAGTTTTTTTTTCTTAAATCAGATGACATGTGAATCAAAATATCTAGAATAGATGTATTCAATTAGCTATAGAATAAAGTATAATTTTGCACAATAGAGCACATAAACTGTTAACGTTAGAGTCAAATGTTTATTTTATCACATGTATCTACTTTTCGCCATTGTCAGAGTATTTAATTAAATTAATCTATGTTCACAACTCTATTAGTGGTTAATTCGTGGACTTGTCAGTAGTGAATAATCTCGATAGTGACTTGCAAATCTTACTCTTAATCTAACTTGATAGTATTTTAATTGTATTAGTCTTTTTTACATTATAAGGTAAACGAACTCGGCTCAAATATTGCAATTGCAGATGTGATGCTTTCCTAAAACAACCTCGGAATATTTTCCCTTCCCATGCATTCTCATTTCCGCTTTACCTTTCCTTCCTATCATTTTCTTTACGAAAAGGGTGGGCAGTGTAAGTAAACTAAAATAAGGTCTCGTGATTTGTCACTCCGAAATTGTCTCCGTCATTTACCAAACTAGGATTTCATTATAAATTGTTAGATTTGATTGAAAACTTGTCTTTTGTTGTTTTAAATCTTAAAATCAATATGTATTTTGTAACTAAAAAACTATCCTATACTTGTAACTCGCAAATCATGGAACTTCAACTTCATTGTAATTGAGTTTTCAAAACGTTTCTGTAACACATGTTCCTGTTTTACAGTCGGGACGTGATTTTCTTTCTAAATGCATCGAAGGCGACCCGAACGATTCTAACATTAATATTTAGGACTACCAGACCTATATCTTATTATAAGTAAGATCGATTCAAAATAACTAGAGTAAGAGATGGATATTAAAATAGAACTATTTCTAAAAAGTACAGTAACATTTTTTTTAAATGGCTGAAAATTATGATAAATGTACTATGATATAAAAACACTAATTTAATAAAATACATGGCATATGTTACTCACTGTTAACGTAGCTTTTTAATGGTAAAAGAATTTTTTAAATCGACCCAGTAGTTTTTGAGTGATTTCAAAAAATACAAAAATACAAATCTTTCCTCTTTATAATATTAAGTATAGTTTACAAAGATTTTGATAAAACTTATCAAAATATTTCTTAGTAAATTGCTAGTGAGTAAACATCAGTAGACTTGTGTATATTGGATTATTCCCGCAGTCAATATTTATGTAACACTAAAGTCAATATTGTTTACGTTCAAAGTTATACTCACGAACAGTTCTAGGAAACTACAGCGTGTTTTAAAACGAAAACTAAATATTGTACACAAATGTTGCATGTTACTATCATACTAATATAAATGCGAAAGTTTAGATGGATGGATGGATGTTTGTTAGAGTTTGTAGCCTAAATTGGTGAACAGATTTCGATTAAATTTGGCATAGATATAGAGGATAGTCTGGAAGAACATATACACTACTAACTTTTGTTTTCTTTTTTTAATTCCACGCGCACGGGGTCTATGGCGAAAGCTAGTACTATGTTAAACACTATTGTTTATTGAACATCGTCTAGATAGATTCTATAAGTATTACTTACTTTTTTATTTTAAGTATATGATTTGTAAGAAGTATAACACAGGAAAGGTATATCTCTTGTAAGTAAAAAGTAACAAAGGGAATATAAATATGGGTACTAATGGGTACTTTTATTATGAATAACGTTTGACGTAACATTAGTTGAAAAATCTCACAATTTCAAGTCGTTCTTCAGTGTAAATATACACATAACGTTGACATTTTAAGAATTAAGGTGCGTATCCACTAAAGTGAAACAGTGACGAAAAAAACTATCATATTTCTTTTATTTTACGATTCCACAAATTTATTTGTATGTATTAACAGTGATAGTTAAGTGAAGAATTAATTACTTTAATTAATTTTTCTCTGAATTGCATGTGTGGAGAAATGCGTACCAATATCATGTGGGTAAATATTTTTACAACTTTATTGCGGTTATTTGAACAAGAATATTCCTTTATGAATTGCCATATATTTAAATCTTTGGGTCCTTCGCTCGGTATTCTTTGAAAAATATCGTAAGACACCATTTACAGTGGAAACACACCTTTAATCCTTGTTTAATGAGGTCTGTAAAAGGCAATACGATATTTCGAACAAGCCAACAACAAAAAACTTTTCTTCATAATGTTCTAATTTATTTTTATTCTCGGAAAACGAAAATGAGTATTTCTTTATCTGACATTCTTTTGTTCAAATACTAAAATACGGAAATCTGACGTATTATTTACGTAAATAATTGCGGAAAGTCTTCTTTTTAATGTAAGAAAAGAAAAATTATTAACAAATGAAGTCAGTTCTAGTAATTAACAAATGCCAATCATTAATTTTGAAAAGCAATACATGCAACCATTTCATGGTTTTCGCTAGGTGATGATCAAGGGGGTAAGATCGTTGATAAAGGAGGTACAGGCCGATGATCAGGAGTAGCTGCAGCCATTTTCTTAAAATTAATAAGGATTTTTCTTTGATAAAGTTTGACAATACTGTTTTAAGTAACTCTGCACATAAATACACACTTGTAAAAGGTCGTTCCTCGGTGTTTTTCTTTGAGTCGTGTACTCGAGGTTGGCTAGTAGTTATTATTCATAGCAAACGGAATACATTGACCGAATGTCGAGAGTGCCACTTTTACGAACATGTCGCAAGTTTGTACACATTCGCTTTACATTTAGATTTGTTTCAGGTCTTTTATTGTCTAAAATGAATAGTTTGAGTTTATATTAAGACGTCTAGGTTATAATTTAACAATTAGAAAGTTATATAAGGAAGTAACTAAGAAGAATAATGTGTAAGAGTAGTGATAGTTCAATTTAAGAGTGGTAGAGCCACCCCTTTTTTGAGAGGAAAGGATGGGAAAGATAAGTGGATTTGACGGTGGTGGAGACGCACAGGATGGGGAAATGTCCTCTATATATGCGTCTCCTCCTCCATCAATGAAGGGTAGGCAACGCATCTGCAATTGTGGATGTTTATGGGTAGCGGTCGCTTTCCATTTCGGTGGATTCAATTGCCCGCTTGCAGGTTTGCCACCTTATATTATAAAAAAAAAAATTGCGAACGTCAATAGTACTGGAGTTGATTTGATCAGTAATATATAACTTTAACTGTCGTGGTATGTACAAATATAATGTTCGTAAGATACGGGTTTCTTACCACGATTGAATTGTTTTAGCTCCCGATATTTCGGCACAGTTGCATGCGCCATGTTCACGGGCTGGCTGAAGTGATGCGGTAGTGTGAAAAAAAAAGTTACACGAAGCCATATCGGTCTACTTTTCTCCTGATACGGCGACCACTACTATTATTGTCCTTGTTTTCACTAAAGTCCACACTAGCTGTTTTCTGTCGACAAACTACTAAACTAAAACAATTCAATCGTGGTAAGAAACCCGTATCTTACGAACATTATATTTGATCAGTAATGTTTATAAAATAATACTGGAGATATAATTCTGTAGATAATGTTTCGGTTTCGCTAACTAAATAATTTGATGTTTTAAAATTTCCTACCGTTCTAAAATTCGTAAACAGAGAATTGAGAATAATTTATTTAAGCCTGCAACGATTCACGGATTTAACTGGATTGGGCTGCAATCAGATATAATTGATTTGCAATCACACGAATTTGCAAGTTTGTAATGCGATTTTTCATTTAGCCGCCTAATGACCATTCATTTATTTAAATGTAAGACGCCTGTTTGTAATTTGACTAGACAAATTATAAAACTAAATCAAAAGCGAATTTGTTAATGGTTTTACACGACTACTGCTACTAAAAAGGTAAACCATAACTTTACTTAAGTTAATATTCGCTATACTTAGAAGTAGAAATTAGTAGCTAGTATTTCTAAAAAAGGGTTTCACCCAAAAGTACTAAAGCGCCTGATAGTTTTTTCTAGTTTAGTATTGTATGAGCTAGGGGCTGTGTGTATGGTTGGCGTCGTAACTCCAGGCTTCATTAAACGTACAAGCTCTGAGACCCGCTTTGCCTATTCATATCATGCCCTAATTTAAATTTAGACGTCACTTAAAATGACCAGAACGAGTTAAGCTCTTGTATTTAATCTATGTTTATATAAAAATAACCTGCAATATTGATTAATACATTAACATATCACAGCCTAAACTACTGGATATACATATACAAAATTTTGCTTATAAATAACCTAATGGTTTGGGGTACGGACTACCGATCTTGCGGTCGAGGGTTCGAATCCCGCCATTCGACTATTGTCGTGAACCATATCCTAGTACAAGCCTAGAGTTTACTTGGTATGGTTAAAGGAAATATTAGTAAATTAACAAAAATCTTCTAATATTTTAACATAAAAAAATGCAAATTAAATAGAATTGAGAAAATATAGCAACATATCTAAATAATTTTACCTATATAAGGTTGTTATATCAGACTTATTGAGAACAGACATGTTTATATTAA